ATTAAAATTTATTGAAAATAATAAATCTTACTGAGATGCGGGAGATCACCGAGATTTGTAATTTTCAATGAATTTCAGCTTTAAATAGCGATAGCCAAAATATTTGATATTGCTTGAATTTTATCGAAAATAATAAATCTTAGTGAGATGAGAGAGTCACTGAGATTTGTAATTTTCAAAAAATTTCAGGTAATAAAGAGTGTTAGCGACAAATATTGTTTGAAATTTATTGAACATAATAAATCCTAGTGAGTTGTGGGAGTCACAAAGATTTTTATTTTCTATAAATTTCATCTATTAATAGTGTGAGAGAAAAAAATATTAGATATTGTCTGAAATTTATTGAAAATAATAAATCTTAGTGAGATGTGGGAGTTCACCGAGATTTGTAAAATTAAATGAATTTCAACTATAAATAGGAATAGATAATATATTTGTTATTGCTCGAATTTTATTGAAAATAATAAATCTCAGCGAGATGTGTGAGTAACCGAGATTTGTAATTTTCAACAAATTTCAGGTAATAAAGAGTGTAAGGGACAAAAATTGTTTGAAATTTATTAATCATAATAAATCTTATGAGTTATGAGAGTCACCGAGATTTCTTATTTTCTATAAATTTCATCTATTAATAGTGTTATAGAAAAAATATTGGCTTTTGCGGTAAATTTATTGAAATAATAAATCTCAGTGAGATGCAGGAGATCACCGAGATTTGTAATTTTCAATGAATTTCAGCTATAAATAGGAATAAATAAAATATTTGGTATTGCTCAAATTTTGTTGAAAATAATAAATCTTAGTGAGATGCGGTAGTCACCGAGATTTGTATTAAAATATTACTTCTATTTTAAAAATAAATTTATCTTAATGAAATATTTATAATAAAAATCAGAAGTTAGTTCATATAATGAATTAAGCATGAAGTAAGTTGATTTCTAAAATGAATTAAGATGATTTTTTTATAGTTGAATTTCTTATTTATTTATAAAAGATTAGGCCATGGACAGATCCTAGCTTATAGGGTTTTGTGGGCTTTTATACTTGATGAATTTTTTCTTAAATGAACTTTCTGGGCTGAAGGCTTTTTTTGGTAGTCTCTTTTAATATAATGGATTCACACGTCTCAAACACTTAACTGTCTCTCTATCTGTTTCTGTGTTTTCTGCCATCCGTTTCTTTCTCAAAACTCAAGAGTCATTCTTGTTGAAATTCTTGAGTGTGTTGACTTGATTATCGTTTCAAACTGGTTTTTACTACTATTATAGTTTACAACTGGTTTATGATTTGAGATATATATTTAAACTAGACTGATTTTAAATTGAATTTTGAAACATATATTGGTTTTAAAACCAAATTGGTTTAACAATGATTTTAAACCATAAATTAGTTTTAGAACTGATTTTTTTTATTAATATAAACAAGTCATTTTTAAAATAAATTTTAAAATTAATTATTTTCTTAAAATTAGTTTTAAAAACAGGTTTATGATTTAAAACTAGGTTTGAAATCAAACTCGATTTCAAGTCATAAACTTATTTTAAAACGAAATTTAAACCTATTTTTGAAAACCCAAGCCAATTTTAATTCCTTTGTGAGTGTACCTCTAAGGTTCTATAAGAAAATTTCACATAATTTGATTCTAATAATAGAAAATAAAATATCTAATTAACTCAACTAGAAATACTTGTGCATATATCATTATCTTTATTTTTTTTAAAATACCGGGCCACTTAAACCAATGTATTTGGGCTTTAGGCATTCTGATGTCTTGTCTTGTTGTTTGCATGCTTGGGAGCTCCAATTCTTTGATGATAGATGTCCATATCTTTGTTTGTATGCTCCCAGACGAAATTGGGTGTCTACACTCTCCGCACTGAAATTTTGACTGGGGCAAATTGTGGACCAGGATTGATTTCCTTTAGACTTCTTAATATAGAACATCGTCTCAATTTGGAGGAATTCAATGCTATCTTTGGATTTCAAATTGGAGGGGAAAAAAGAAACCCAACATCATTTAATCCATATATGTTTTGGAGGGCTGTAACAGGTCACAGACAATGGTTGGCTGGTAAATGCAATTCGTCTACATTTCGCCACCCTGCCATTAGAATTATGCATAGGTTTATTGCATCTACTATTCTAGGTCGTGGCGACTCAGAGGGAAAGGTACGCCTAACTGATTTACTTTTTATATGGGCAATGATGAAAAATAGGGATGAAAAGATCAACTCTGATGCATATTTGGCTAGACAATTGCAAAGCATTTCAAACACTAGATTTGACAATATTGTCAATGGGGGCTTGATAACTACAATTGCTAAAAATTTGGGCTATAGCGAATTTCTGGACCATTTGCAGGATATCGGAGCTCCTAGAAGGATTAATTTTAATACTTGTTATGCAATGTATTGTATTACTAAGGACAATGATGACAAATTTTATTTCATTGTTAGCCAAACTAGAGTGCACCACTTACTACCAAACCGACAGTATACACTCAAGGATGAAACCACATGGTGTTTCCCCTTGCAGTCATTGACTGATGTACCCGAACAACAACCTGTTCCTCAGGAGGTAGCACTTGAAGCAGAGGAAGCGGAGACAGAGGACCAACATTTCACCACACAATCATATGTACAGGTAGACAATGCTGATATCCTATCTGTCATTCAGTGTATGGATCGTCGACTACAAGAGATGGATGAACGTCAACAGCACTATAATTATATGCTAGATAAGATGTATAATTGGCACCTTCAGCGTTATTCAGATGATTTTCCTCCTCAGTGATTTCTCTAAATCATATTGTGTTAGCACAAGCAATTTATGTTATGATTTCCTGTTGTTTACTCTTTGAACTATCTTAGCATATATATTTATCTCTTTCAAATTTCAGACCATATGTATTCAAGTCTTTAAAAACTTAGACCTTAATATATCTATGTTTTTATGATTATTAGTATGGTTTGACGTTCATATTTGGTGCATGATAATTTTACTCTTCAAAACCAACTGTTAAATTTCAACTTCAGGCAATGCTTCAATACTAACATTACTAATTGTTGATAATTCCATTGAGATTAAACCAACATTACAAAAATATCCAACAACAACATCCCAAAAGTTGTCATTAATTTATATTAATTAAATTACATTTTAATTTTAAAAATAACTTATATAAATTTGAATTTCACTTTGCATGATTGTGTTAAAAATAATCTATATTAATTGAAATTAATTATATTACATAGTCTAAATAAAATTCATGTTGCTGAATTATTTATGAAAAAATAAACTATGTGAACCAAAACAATATGAACAATCATTATTTTTTTTCTTCAACAATGATGAATATTAACTATTTTTAAAATTTGATTTCTTAATTAATATAAAAAGAGATTCTTATAAAAATTAAATTTTGAATATGAAAATATCTTAAAATCAAATAACAAATTTTATTGTCTTTCTTGAATCAATTAGCAGCACACAAATTCCTCCTCTCAACCATTTTTTTATGTAGTTCGTTGATGCGTCCGATGAATTACAAGAGAACATCTTATACTTCGTATAAATCATGCAAACAAAAAAAAAAAAAACAAAAACTTAGCATGAACACGGAATTCTTTTGAAGGTGAACCTTTTATGAGAGAATCAACATAAGGTAACATATTGTAGAATGAAGCGTGCAACGACGACAATTAAAGGAAGAAAAAACCAAAACCAAAACAAATATATAGACGACTCTTAATATCTTAAATTGCTATTATTATGTATTTTATGAATTCAAATAAAATAAAATTTTTGGTGGTATTGCAAAATATTTTTTATTTATTTATTATATATAATAGACTTATAGGATTTTCACATCAACAAAAATTATACAAATAATAAATTAGATGATAAATAACAATAAATTATGTTTTCTTTTATATATTTAAATATATTTTTAGTTCTTATATGATGAATATGTTTTGATTTTGATATTTATACATTTTTTTTCTTTATTTTCCATCATTTGAAGATTTAAAATTATGATTTTAGTCTATATTATTATGTAATTCTTTTTAACTATTTATGCAATTGAAATATTATGTGATTATTTTAAGTGATATCTATAACTTTATGTGATATTTTATTTGCATGTAAGGTTTTTAATTTTTTTTTTATATATCCTTAAAATAAATGTTATATATCTATACTAATATATAAAAGGATATTCTTTCTAATAACTATCTTGGTTTTCACATTTTGTTGACCATTATATTCTTATATTTAAAAAAAAAATATTTTTAATCAAATTCAAGAACTTGAAATTAATGAACTAATTATAATACCAGTTTGATCAATATACTTTTATTACTTAATTTTTATTTTTATTTTATCTTTATCTTTAGTAAAGACACGAAGTGTCTCAATCCCACTAGTTATAATAATAATAAAATAAAAATTATTCAAAAAGTGAGAATAGTTTGAAGAAAAAATATAAATTACTCTATTTTGTCTCCATATAATTTTGACAATTTTATCTTTATAACTATTTCAACTACTCTTTTTTCTCACCATTTTTATTTTTATTTTTCTTTTTTCTACCATTTAAAATCCTTCAAAAACTAGGTAATGGATCACTATACTCCTTGAATGTAAAAAAATAAATTATATCATTTCTGAATAACTATCTACAACTTCTAATATTTATTTGTGTATAATTATTAGAGATACGAATTGCTTCAACCCATCTAATATACTTTAAAATGATTATCAAAGATGAAAAACAATAATTTAAATTTTGGAAGAACTAAAAATAAAAAATATTTATGAAGACAAAAAAAGATTACTTATTTTATAAAGACTAAAATAATGTTGATAAATTTTAAAATAATAAAAATAAGTTTTTTTATAATAATGAAAATCAAAACTTGATGGTGAGAATGAAAATATATATATAAATAGTAGGCAAATAATGTTTTTGGATCACACTACAGACTATACAGAGAAAGGATTTGCGAAATATTTGAAATGGCGAAAGTAACCTCCCAAAGGGTTTACATTTGTAACCGGATAAAATAAACCACACTGGCCCATGGATTCAAAATGAAAATCGCACGGAATTTGATAAGAAGAACAAAACAATTGAAATTGAGGCAACAGCACTTCCGATTCAATTCAATTCAATCGTTGGACTGAAGCAGAGGCAGCTGAAATCCTCCTTCACCTAATTCCAATTTCAATTTCCGAAAAAGCCCCTTTCTTGAAGATGCCCAATTCCTCCTCCACCTAGCCAGCCGCCACCAACCCCATCGATCTCCGCCGAAGATGATCGTCCGCACCTACGGCCGGCGCAAGGGCTCCATTTCGGGAACGTGCTCCTCGCTAAACGACGACGTTTCGCTCTCGCAGGACGACTCCGACCCTCTCTGCGGCTTCGCCTTCTCCTCCTCGCAGGACTCCTCCTCGCACCATTGGCCGCTCTTCGATTCCGAGATCCCCGATTTCGGCGCCGCCGCCGGAGGGAGGGAGTCCAAGCGGCCGAGGCGCGCCGCGCCGGAGGGGATTACGGCCACCTCGACGCTCATGGAGGCGCAGGAGTTCGGGGAGATGATGGAGCACGTCGACGAGGTCAATTTCGCCCTCGACGGCCTCCGCAGGGGCCAGCCTCTGCGGATCAGAAGGGCTAGCTTGCTCTCCCTCTTGTCCATCTGCGCCACCATGCAGCAGAGAAGGCTTCTCAGGACTCAAGGGTGTGTCACTTCTCTTCTTTTCTTTTTGAATCTTTAACGTCTTAATTTGGTCTTTTGAATTCTTTTGTGGGTTGGGTTTCCTTCAAAATTTTGAATTTGGGCCGGGCGGTGTCGTGGGGTGTTTTGTGGGTCGTCGCCGGATGTGTCTGGTTTTTGAATTTCTTGGCGCTGTTGGATTTTGGAGCTTTAAATTTCTTTCTGGATTTGAATTGTTCCGTTTATGATTCTGGTATTAACGTTGCCGTGTGGGTAGATTTCATCGTGAGATCTCTTTTTAAGTAGAAATGTGGCTTGCTTAGATATTTTAGGGTGCTCAGGGATTGCGCTTGTTTATTTCACTTATGGGACTTTGTTGCCGTTTTTTTTTTTTTTTTCATACCCCTTTTGTGTGTGAAATTAATCAATTGCGGACCTCAAGTTTGCTTCCTACTCGAGCTATCCGCCGTGCATGACTTTTCTGCCATTTGATATATAGTTTAAATAATGTAAAATATTCCATATCAGGATTCGCAAGATTATAAAGATTCATGATATTGCTGTTATCGTTTGCCTAAGTATTATGCAATTGACCTAGTATTCAGAGATTAAAAAGATTCATCCGTTGTGAGTGTGGCAGGGTAGTATTTTCTAGAGAAAACCCTCAATTAGGTCTTCCAAAAAAATTAGTTGCGATATTAGTCCCACAAGATTTTTTTTTCTTTTTTTTTTCTGTGAACACTTTAGTACCTCAAAGATTTATTTATTTATTTGTCATAGCTCTAGCCCTTCTAAGATTCTATCGCCAAATTGATCCTTTTATGATTTAATTGCCACCAAATCATTAGTCCCTCATAGTTTCTTTGTACACCTATTTTTTGCCATAGGGATGATATTTTAGATCTGCGAGGAACTAATTTTGTAATAACTGATAAGATTAAATCTTTGAAGGACTAACTTGGTTACAAAATCTTTGGAGGACTAATATGATGAAGACTTAAATCTTAGGGACTTATTTGGTCACCAAAAGGTTTGGAGGACTAATGGAGTGACGAACATAGTGTTTTTGAGGACTAATTTGAGTGTGTATTCCATTTCTGTAAATCTTCATTCAAATTTTATTTTTAAACTGAGTACATGGATTGAACTCACTCTTATATAGGAAATATACAAGTATCGATGTTTAGCTGATAAATCCCAGATTTTTATGCTTTCTAGGCTGGCAAAGACAATAATTGATGCTGTTTTGGGCCTCAGTCTTGATGATTCTCCCAGCAATCTTGCAGCTGCAACCCTTTTTTACATTTTGACCAGTGATGTAAGTCTTCTTTTGTTTGTGGAATTGCAGTCAGAGAATTATGATTATGAATAATAAGAGAAGCATTGGGAAATATAAGCATCACAATAATTGTGTAATTTACTGGGTATGCTTTTGTTTCAGGGCCAAGATGATCACCTCCTTGAATCACCTAGTTGTGTTCAATTTCTAATCAAGTTGTTAAGACCAATTGTCTCCACAACTATTAAAGACAAAGCACCAAAATTTGGCTCTAAACTTCTATCATTGCGTCAGAATGATGACGTGCTAAAAAATATGACGGGAAGATTGGACTCCAGCTCTATGGAAGTTTGTTCTAAAGTTCAAGAAATTCTAGTAAATTGCAAAGAGCTAAAAACATGTCAGAATGACAGTAGGGTGGAGAGACCAGAGTTATGCCCAAAATGGTTAGCATTGTTGACTATGGAGAAGGCTTGTCTGTCTGCCATTTCTCTTGATGGTATTGTAAAGAACATTTATTTCCACAGTATTATAGGCTGAAGATGTTCTTTTCCCTCTATTATATCATGTTCAAAAAAGTAATAAGAGAGAATCAAATCTGCTAACATATACTGATATATACTATCTTTTTAGTAAAGCAATATGCTAAAGAACACATTACTTACAACTTATGAGTTTATGTAACAGTCTTATTCATTTTATTTCTTCCCAGTTTCCAAAGGTGTCATCTTGATTTTGACATGCTAATAAAATTTGAGTTCTCTGCACAGTGGTGCTTAATTTGATGGAATCTGCCTTTTTTTTAATGTAAATTCTAGGGGGTAAATATGTTCTGAATTTTATAGTGGGTATTTTTATGTGAATTTCCATCCCAAATTAATCAAGATTTTACTGTTTTCACCTGTAAATTATGATTTCTGTTGTATTCTTTCTCCATAAAAAGTTATAATTCCTACAAGTAATTTTTGATGCTTCTAGTTGATCAGGAACTAACATCATTAAAATTTGTAATGTTCTGTGGTCCTGCTGACTATATATTCTGTTATGGAACGTCTCTATTGAAACAACTTCAGAGTATTCTTTTCTAACTTTTTTTGGGATGTTATGGGCTTTCTTTTCAGAAACCTCTGGTGCTGTACGTAAGACAGGTGGAAATTTCAAGGAAAAATTAAGGGAGCATGGAGGACTTGATGCAGTCTTTGAAGTCACCATGAATTGTCATTCAGATTTGGAGGTGTGAGCTTGTATGTTAGTTCTCATATATGCTTTACTGTACTTGCAGTAGACATGACGAGACTTTGGCAAAAAGAAATTGACAGAGATGGTCTAAAACAGTAATTTCTGATAGTTTTTTCTTTATCTGACTTGAGATATTGTATTTTGCTGATTCATCACCAATTATTTTATTAGTCTTTTTGGTATGTTCTCAAAATCACGTTTTGTTGATAAAAGAACAATTTTGATAGTAACATGAATGTTTGGGTAATTTTTTAGACTCGATTAATTATGCTATAAGTCAAATAGGGTTTAATAGAAAGATTTTTTTTAGCTTTTCTGTTAAATAGATTCTTGGTGTGGGACTCATAAAAATATTTATATTTATTCTTCAAGAATGATTGTACTTTTTCATTCAAACAAAATCAATTCTTTTTAACCTACTTTTAAAATATCATTCTTAAGCACAAATAATGTTTTAACCTTAATTCTTAGATAATATTTGATCAAATGCCTCTATATTTGCTGCCTCAAATGAGAAATTATAGTAGCAATTGCCTTAAAGCTGTCATTTGTCTTTCAGAATTGGATTAGCAATGGTTCTCTCTCTACCAAAGATTCAAGACATGACAAACAAATGAAGAGCCTAACCTTGCTTCTCAAGTGCTTGAAGATAATGGAAAATGCTACTTTCCTAAGCAACGACAATCAGGTTGACATGTGTTCTTTGCCTGTTTATTTATAAACTTACTTGTTTATTTGGAATTTTACTTGTGTGACTTTCTCCACCTGTATTACATGATGCATAGGTTTGTTGCATTTCTAGCTTGGTGAACTTGTTGATTTATCAATCAATCAATCTTAACATTTACTTTCTCATTATAGACTCATTTGCTTGGAATGAAACGAAAATTGAGTTCTCAGGGCCCCCCAATATCATTTACAGAGCTGATTATAGCTATCATAAAGATCCTTTCAGGTAATGACCACCAAAAGGGATAATTTCTGGCTTTTGCTGCCTTTTTCTTTTTAGTTACTTTATTTTCCTTTAATTTATGTTTTTGATGGTTCTAAGCTTTTCCTCCCTCTTTCATCCCTGCCAAAAATCTTCTAACTTGTAGATCTATGTTTACGTCGGAGTGCCTCTGCTGCATCCAATGATAGCAAGATTTGCGATCCCTTCTCTATGGTCAGTCATGATTCTGAATTGGATCAGCTCAGAGACTATAAAGGTACTAGATTGTTATTATTGGTTGGAGTATGCAGAAATCTGCCAAACCACTGTAGAACATTTATACTCTTCTTTTCACCGAGACAGGATCTATTTGTAGAATTGTCTCCCTCTTTTAGGAGATAACTATTATCTCTTGCTCTGTTTTTATTAACCTTTGGAGATTGATAGGCCCCTATTACTGAGGCATATGGTATTTGCAAAGACATGGGAAGTAAAAGGTTAACATAGCCTTTTGCTTCCCATCTCTTTTAATGAGGCATATGGATGAAGAGGAGAGAACAGTCATTATATGGAATATTCATGTTGTTAAGTCTGGAGCATAACCGAATGCTGGACTGGCAAGGAATAGTGAGAGGTGGGAAATCTGTTGGGGAGAAATGAGAATATAACAGGGAAGGATAGGTGCTACATGTAGGCATGACACTAGATTTATCTGAATGGTCTGGGGATTCTGTACATCTGCAGAACTCTAGATTTATCTTTTAATTTTCACCATTTTGTGTTATTGTATTGTAAGGAGTTAATCTCCCCCTTTTTTTTTTATTTATCAGAAATTCAGTTTTTATCAGTAAGAAATGCCATTAGCTTTATTATTGAGCTTCACAGAGTTACTATAAGGGTTTACTGTTAAAAATTGTCATCTCTAAACCCTTGATTAAATTTTGTTGTCTCTGCTGGGAAGAAAATTATTGTTTTAATTCAAAAGAGAGTGAGCATTATTAGGGTTGGATTGCAGATTTTTCAGATTTCTTGTTATGCCTATAATAGTCCACTCTACTGGTTGAAACTGAAGTTTGGAGTCATGGATCTCAGCTGATGATCATGTGTGGACTTTGACACAGAATTTACTCTGTCTAGACTCCAGCATATCTTTCTCATAGGTTGAATGTTTTCATAGAGCAAATTTCTGAGAAAATGTAGTTTTCTGAGAAAATGTTATCAAGATAATTTGTTTCTTCCCATGTATTTGGGTTATGTGCTGTAGTCACATTCTAAACGAATAATTGGTGGTGACTTGCTATTGTAGAAATAAGTTAGTCTTCAGATTTTCTGAATGCTCCTTCATTTGAATTTGTAGAGAATGAGACTCTATCCATCAGTTCCAGTAGAAAGTACCATGGTGCAGAGAGAGCCTCTTCTATTAAGAGTTCTAATGCTTCTCAGATCAGCCGAATATTGACATGTAATCGGTTGGAAAGTTCGCTATCCATTTCTGAGACACCCAGCACTTCAACTACTGATACTCATTCACTAAAGATGAGGGTCAGTTCTTCCACATCTGGGTCTTGTAGTGGTGCATCAAAGAGTTCATATTGTAAAACATCCACGATACAAAATAGTTCCAGGAAGAATGTTCGCTTTATGGAAGGTACCCCAGTTGTAATCTTGGATGATAGCCAAGATCCCTTTGCATTTGACGAGGATGACATTGCACCCTCTAAGTGGGACCTATTATCAGGAAAAAAGAAAAAGTCTCATTCTAAAAAGCATGAGGTAGCAATCAGTGAGTTTGAAAATGAATGTCAATCTCACATCAATGTGATCCAACAAGAATTAAGTAATGGAGACGTCAATTGTTCCAGTTCTGATGTTGGTGATGAAAAAGATTCCAGCCTTCTAACTGACTGCCTTCTTACTGCTGTAAAGGTATTTTATTTGATCTAGTTTGTTCAATGTATCATTTAGATACACTTATTCTCATATTGTTTGGGTAATTGAGTGAAGGTTGAGGTCTGGAGAACTTGCTTCCCTGTTAGACCATTTGAGAGTTTTTGTTTAATGTGTGGTTGCAATCTTGAATTTTCAATGTCACTGTTATATGCTATAGTATTCTTTTAGAGAAGTATTTGCTGGATATAATTCTTGTTTTGTTTATATATACTGATAGTCTTATCTGTAAAACTAAAATTTTTTATGTCCTCTTTTTATTAGATCCTATCAGGGTTTTTCTCATGCAGAAGTTAGTTGCAATTTATACACTAACTAATGTTGTCTTATTTTAGGTGCTGATGAATTTGACCAATGACAACCCTGTTGGTTGTAAGCAAATTGCAACCTATGGAGGACTGGAGACCATGTCTATGTTAATTGCTGGTCATTTCCCTGCTTTCAGCTCATCGTTGTCCTTTGCTCAGATAAAAGAAAATGCTGCAGGAACTACAAAAAATCATCAATCTGATAAGCATCTGACTGATCATGAGTTAGATTTCCTTGTTGCTATTTTGGGTCTGCTCGTCAACCTGGTTGAGAAGGATGGTCATAACAGGTAAGTTAAACAACTTCTGGACTGGATAGAGCTGCATTAACTAGAGATTTATTTGTTTTCTTCCTTGAGTGGTTTTTTCCTATTTTAAGCTTTACTTCAAACAATTGAAGGGATCCACTTACGTTTGAAGTAAGTCTTGGGCACTTGTTCCACTTAATAACTTTTTATATGTATGTACGTATGTATTTAGAGAGAAAACTATACAAAATATACATGGATGGTCATGATCGAAAATTAATTAGTCACACGATCATTAAAAAGTTGTCATTTTTATGTTTTAATCCTGACCTTTCATGATAAGATCTAATGGTCAATATTTTTTCTTCTCACTCACTGAAAAAGGTTTTCTCATTTTATGTCTCTTACATCGCCTACCTCAATTTTTTGAGTGCAACTTATATATCTGTTTGTATCTGGATTTTGTGTTTCTGAATCACGCTTTTATTCAGCCTTTTATAATTATAATGTAGAATTAAGATTTGTATCTTCTTTGGTCCTTTTATAAATGTCTTATCATAGTACGCAACTATGAACTATCCTCTTTTTACTAATAAAGTCTAAAATGTAATCCATTTGATTTATTTTATGTTTATTTAATGAATGGAAGAAAGAACATAATGTCTTCTCAATCACTTAAACCTCGTATTATTTTTTGGATTATATATACGATTGACAACATGTTAAGGAGAAACAAATTTCCAAAGAAGCTCTTGGCATTATAATATAAAGTGCATCTCGTTAATATTGTATTTTTTTTTTTCAAAACCCTTTCAAACATGCTGTTGGTTTTCTGCAGATCACGGCTTGCAGCAGCCAGTGTTCTGCTACCTTCCTCATCAGGCTTGCACCAGGAGGTTCGGAAGGATGTTATTCAATTGTTATGCTCCATATTCTTGGCTAACCTGGGTGAAAGTGAAGGAGCTGGGGAAGATAAGCAGTTTGTACTGGTGGGTAGCATGTTCTTAGAAATTTTGTGACAGTTCTTATGTTTATTCACATTTTCTCTCTAAGTGGAAAATATGGCTAATTCTCCCAACTTGTTTACCATATCATGTATGAATAATTATGAAGAGTTGTGTTAGTTACTTTAACTGAAATAGTTGCAAAAGAAAAAGAGAAATGCTAGCAACACCCTACATGACACACTGTTTTAAACACACTGCAATTGGTTGAAATTTAGTGGAAAACACAAAATTTAACGAGTCTCACACCCTATTTAATGACCCTCTCTCGATTGTGTAGTTTTCAACAAATTCTAACTAATGAGAGTGAATGTGTTAAGAAGAGTATATTAGAGTGTTGTTAACAATCCTCAAGAAAAAAAAAATGCCGTCTATTCAAATGAACAAGCAATAGGTAAAGAAAAATGGAAGTTGCAATGTGCTCAACTTGATTGTGCTCTGAAGTGGATAATGCAATTGGATGAATATGAAAACAACTAAGGATTATCTTGAAACTTCCAAGATATTGTTATGTTCTTGTAGGTCTCATCTGATGTATAGTAACCATTGTACTTGTTTAGTTGTTTATCAATACTAGAAACACTTAAATGAAAGTTGGTGTGACTTCAAGACTTTCTGTAGGGGGAAAATATATGAAATTTGATTGCCATTGATGTATCTTGAATATTATGTTTCATCATGCAGAATGATGAGGCAGCTGTTCTACAAGGTGAAAAAGAAGCTGAGAAAATGATTGTGGAAGCGTATTCTGCACTGCTTCTAGCATTTCTTTCCACTGAAAGGTTGATTTCTTATCAATTCTCAATTGTTTGATTCAATTGTTGTGACATATTTTAAGGCTGATAATGTACTTTTCTTGGTCTACAGTAAGAGCATCCGTGCAGCAATTGCTGACAATCTTCCTGACCAGAACTTAGCAAGTCTTGTACCTGTGTTGGACAGATTTGTGGTAATGTAGCTTGTGGCAATTGTTTATACCTTTGGGGATGAAAATGTGAACTTGCTTGACATATTGTTTGTTAGACACTAAAATGTGTTGGGAATGGTAACTGGGGTTTCACCTTAATCATTTTCGATACCTGGGGCACCTTTACCATTTTTGCTTTTGAAACTTTTATACACACAATTGATGGCCTTTTAAACTCATAAATCCGTCTTCAACTGCAGGAATTTCATCTATCATTGAACATGATTTCGCCTGAGACTCATAAAGCTGTTAGTGAGGTCATTGAATCATGTAGAATTCGATGATAGCTCAAAGGGAAAACTCTGTACAGCCACAGCTTAATTTAGGGTTTGTTATTCTGGAGGAAATGGGGACTGCATTACGCCGAGTCTGATCAACTTTTATTCTCTGCTCACAGCGCTTTATACCCTTATTTTTATTTTTATATCACCATGCTGGTGATGATGTTGAGTTGCATGTATACAAAAATCAGTAGTGAGATTCGTATCTAGCATAGTTTGTGTGTAAACAATAGTGGTAATTTTTTTCAATATTCTTGTTTATTCATTCATTTTCTTGTATCGGAAGCTTATATCTTTTGTTTCAGGCCCCCACGTCCATTGTTTCTCTCCATCTTTAAGTCAGCTAAAGCTGGATTAGTTAATCTTGTTTAATTTTAATAGTGGATATTTGTGCATTACATGCCTCGTTCTAAACCAAGTTTTGTCCACATTCAACTTTGGGAATTGTCTCCACAATTTTGAAGTATGTGTCAGTTCTCATAATTGACTTTGTCTCCTGAAAATAATAAGTAGACCTCTTTTCGCCTGTCTATCTATTGAGAAAGTGGTATTAACATATTTTCTCATAAATTTTCAACATCTTTAATTTTTTTTTATTTTTAATAAATCTCAATTATTAAGAATGTCGAAAAGAATGTGTAAATAATGCATTTCCAGCATTTTTCCATGTTTGCTCAAGTGTAAAAAAATATAAAAAAAATGTGGCAGTGTGTCAGGTGGATATTAAATGGTTTTCCATCTGTCACGATAAACCATTATTTTAGGTGGATTAGGCTTCTTCGAGTGATAGTTTCTTTTGTATGTGTAAATTCAGTTTATCACGGGTTATGTGGGTTGATTTATTAGATGTTTTAAAAAAAAATAGTTAAAATTAAAATAAAATAATTATGTGTATTAAAATTTAATAATTAATAGATTTCAATTTGATAGGAGAACTAAGATTTCATATTTATAAAATTAAAGAGATTAAATTTCTTTATTTTAAAATAGAGTTTAAAATTACATATTAATAAAAATAAAAAATAAAAATGTCATTTATCCTTTCACAATACAAGCAATGCCTGTTAAGGTCAGAAAAACTAAATGTTACTGCATTAAGTGTAGGTAGGCACAGGATTTGTTGAAATGAAAATATGTTTAAACCGGGATACAATTACAGAGTTGTTTATATAGTTACATCAGATTGAATAGTTAAAAGAATAAGGTCAAATATACCATACATTAGTGGTCCACACCTCTTAGCACAAAACCACAAACTCCACACAAGCTAAGACGTAATACGCTGAACTCTATACTTACAACGGTTCTTGGTTACACATTAGTGGTCCAAATCTCTTAGCACAAAACCACAAGTTACAACGTAATACGATTGAACTCTAAACTTACAACTGTTGTCAGTTAAGAATTTTAAACCATGATAATTAAATATTTTAAAGTTTATGCAATGTTTTATTATAAATTTACTTTTATTTATGTTTTAAAAAATTAAGTTATTCAGCTAAATAATATTTACTTTGTTAGTTTAATAATAATTTGCTATTTACTTTATCCTATCAAAAATTAATTAATTTTAATATCGAGCATTTCGAGCTTGTACACATGTTTTAAAAGTTACTCGATTAGCTATACCAAGGGTGCATATCTCCAAGAATCTCCATGAAAGCATGCATGTGCGCCAAACATGAATACCTCCAAAAGCAACCTGCAAAACACCTAGACTTGCTATAATATTACCAAAATGCTCTCATAATTGACATATATTATAATCAGATTCTGTGTTGCAGATTTGATATCAGCCAATTATATTTGTTTTTAGTTATATAATTGACATATATTATAATCAGATTCTGTGTTGCAGATTTGATATCAGCCAATTATATTTGTTTTTAGTTATATAATTGACATATATTATAATCAGATTCTGTGTTGCAGATTTGATATCAACCAATTATATTTGTTTTTAGTTATATAACTGACATATATTATAATCAGATTCTGTGTTGCAGATTTGATATCAACCAATTATATTTGTTTTCAAGTTCTCTTTTCAACAAGAAGACGTTCCATACCCCAAGAAAACTTGCCTTCAATCTCGATGCTTTTCTTCATCCTCTTTCTTCTCTTCCTCCCTCTAATATTCATCATCAAACGTTATTCCAATGCATCAACCACCAAAAACTCACCCCCTTCACCTCCAAGGTTACCCCTACTGGGTAACCTCCACCAACTTGGTTTGTTCCCACACCGCACACTCCACGCTTTGGCTCAAACCTATGGCCCTCTCATGTTGCTTCACTTCGGGAACGTGCCAGTGCTTGTGGTCTCATCTTCTGAGGCAGCACGTGAGGTGATGAAAACCCACGACATTGTCTTCTCAGACAGGCCACAACGTAAGATGAATGACATCCTCTTATACGGTTCCAAAGACCTTGCAAGTTCCACATACGGAGAGTACTGGAGGCAAATAAGGAGCCTCAGTGTGTTGCACCTTCTTAGCACCAAAAGGGTTCAATCCTTTCGTGGTGTGAGGGAGGAGGAAACTGCTAGAATGATGGAGAACGTTAGAAAGTGTTGTTCTGACTCGTTGCATGTGAACTTGACTGACACTTGTGCTGCATTTACCAATGACGTGGCCTGTAGGGTGGCTCTTGGAAGGAGGTACCGTGGAGGAGAAGGGAGGGAGTTTCAGAAGCTGTTGTTGGAGTTTGGGGAGTTGCTTGGTGCTGTGTCTGTAGGGGATTATTTGCCTTGGCTTGATTGGGTGGACAAGGTTAGTGGTTTGTTTGGGAGAGGACATAGAGTGGCTAAACATTTGGATCAGTTTATAAGTGAAGTGATTGAAGAGCATGTTATGAATGGTAGAGATGTTGATGTTGATACTGAGGAGCAAAATGATTTTGTGGATGTTTTGCTTTCAGTGGAGAATAGTAACAGTACTGGCTACCCTGTTGATAGGACTGCAATTAAGGCCTTGATACTTGTGAGTAAGAACATTTTTTTATTGTATTCTGCTTTGGATCTGTGAGGTTTTGATTTTGCACATGTAGTTTTGCTTTTTCCTTACTTATGCCATTAATAGGATCACATGTTTCTCATAGTTGGAATCGATTAAATATGAAAATATGTAGAGTATATTTTGGTTTAGTGCATCTGTAATGTCTTTTATTATTGGACAGTGGTGTATGACCTTTAATTTGAAGTTTGTATATGATAATGAGTTTCCTAGGATGGTGTGTTATTAAGCTTTAACTGATATTGTGGACATAAGGATAGGTTCATAAATTGTGAAAATAAAATAAAGGTCAAGTACAAGAGTTTGCTGCCAAAGATATGCAGCAAGAAAGGAGAGAAAAAGGAAATTAAATATTCACTTTTTATCAATTTTTTTTCTTAGATGAATATGTTTTTCTTATATATACTACTACGTGACTTCCCCATGCATATTTTTTTCATGACTAAATAAGTCATGTGAATTGTTCAATGTTTATGAAGTTTTGTGTATACATAGTATATTGAAACTGAAACGTTTATTGTTAAATCATTGTCGTTTGGTAACTATAAGGTGTCTCATAATTTTTTGTTTTGGTTAGGACATGTTTGTTGCAGGTACAGACACCACACACACAGCCCTGGAGTGGACAATGTCGGAACTGCTAAAGCACCCAACTGTGATGCATAAATTGCAAGATGAGGTGAGAAGTTTGGTTGGTGACAGCACTCACATAACTGAGGATGATTTGGGTCAAATGAACTACTTGAAGGCTGTGATCAAAGAAAGTTTTCGCCTACACCCTCCTGTTCCCTTACTTGTTCCTCGTAAATGCATGGAAGATATCAAAGTGAAGGGGTATGACATTGCAGCTGGCACTCAGGTATTGGTGAATGCTTTTGCAATTGCAAGAGACCCTTCATCTTGGGACCAACCTTTAGAGTTTAAGCCAGAAAGGTTTTTAAGAAGTTCAATAGACTTAAAAGGACATGATTTTGAGCTTATACCATTTGGTGCTGGAAGAAGGGGTTGCCCTGGAATAGTGTTTGCCATGACTACAATTGAGATGGCAATTGCAAACCTTGTCCATCAATTTGATTGGTCATTGCCTGGTGGGGAGGACTTGGACATGTCTGAAACTAATGGCCTTGCTGTTCATAGGAAGTCTCCTCTCATTGCAGTAGCAACTGCATATACATATCAGAGAAATTGATATGTAATGATGACCAGAAAATGATGTTGTAATAAAAGGAATAAAGTTGTCACATATTGTGACACATGACTCTTCTTATCTTGTGGATGCAATTGTGGATTATTGTAATTGTGATACAGATATAAACTACTAATATTGGTTGGCACTAGAGTTTGGCAGTATGTTAATATGTATTTGTTATTATTTGTAGTTGTTATTGAACAATATATTTTGATATGTGCAAGTTTTAATGCATAAATTATTTTTATAAGGTGGGACTGAGGAGGGAATAAAATTGCTTGGGCTTGATAGAAAAACATTTGTAGACTAAGGGAAAAGAAGGATCGGGAATTAATTAAGAACATTGAGGCGTTTAAGGTGTTGGTTTTATGTTTAAAAATTACTCTAATAATAACAAAAGAAAAATCTTTAAATTTGTAATACACTAGTATTTTAGTTTGGACATTGTAAATACTAAATATTTATTATATGTAACTAAAAGTTATAATAAATAATATATACATGTATTATATTGTAATATATAACTCATATTTAAATTTTATATAAATAAATATTTTTAAATATATAGATTATATTTTTAGATTTATGATAAATAATTTATATCAGTATAACATTATTTTTATTTATTGATAATCTATTTAAAATATTAAAATTTAATTAATGAATAAATAATCATGATAAATAAAAATGAAATACGATAAGAAGTTATTTTTTTTTAAAAAAACTCTCTCATAAAAGAAAGCTTCCTAAAATTGCATAAGATAGTTTCATGTTTATTTTTATAAACCGAGAAAAGATAACAACAAGATTGAGAAGCTACCCTAAATTATTCTTAAGAAGAATAAAGCTAAGGGCAAGAGTGGGGTTATCCCACGTACAAAAGGGTTGGGTTTGGTTAACACCAATCAAAACAAGGAAATGAGCAGCTCTATTAGCCTCTTTGTATACATGAGAAAAAGAAATTAGCTAGTTATATTTTATTAGGCTAAAAGTCTTCATGATTATTTCTGCATGCTGGTGCGAGCTCAGACATTGTTCAGAAATAATGATCTTCATAACTTCAAGGTTGTCAAACTCATAATAGATTTGCTTGAAGCCTTTGTTCCATGCGAGTTCTAACCCATGAACTATGGCAAGTAGTTCAACTTTAATGGGAACACTAGAGCCATCCATCATAGAGAATCTCAAGATCCAATTTGTCTGATGATTTCTAAAAATAGTTAATTCCAATCCGATTTGAAAGGGGTAAGAAGCTACCATCAACATTAAGTTTGCAAAAATCTTGAGGAGAAGGGGTCCATCTAGGGATGTAAAACGGACAAGTTGATGTTTGTTCCCCTTTCTCAACCACACTTGACCATATAATCATGTAACATGTAGACATTATAGAGGAATTTTTCTATATCCTAATGGTCATGCTAAAATATTCTATTGTTACACCATTTCCAAATCCACCTTGAGGTTACAATAAACAAGTAGCACTTTTCCTTCAAAAGTTTCCTTTTCAAATAGGTAGAGGGATAAGGGTATAGGATAGGAAGCCTATTTGAGATAAAATGAAGACATATATATCCAGACTTCCTTTACATGAGGCCAATCCCTAATGTAGTGCAAAATATCTTCACTTACATAAAAGCATGCAAAATATGTTGGTGAGGCTATGAGGTTTCTCTAATGATGAATCAAATTTATACTGGTATAGAATTTTGAAGGATCAACAAGAAGAATATGCAAGTGTATCTACCTTAATGGGTTTGCCGATGACCAAAGTCAAACCCATCTAAAAGCTCCCATCTTAATAGACCATGTAAAAAAGATTTTTTTTTGAGTAAAAAAGTCCATTGGTATTTAATCAAGATTTTATGTCACTTAAAAACAATCCAGTGGTATTCAATCTGGATTTTCAAGATTTTTTAAAGAGTCCATTAAAATTCATTGGTATTCATTTGAGATTTTTAACAACTTAAAAACAATCCATTGGTATTCAAAAATATAATGATTTTAAAGGATTGTTGTGTGTGTAACAGCCCAATTTTCACTGGGCCAAGGGCCCAATTAGGGTGGATCAGTAGCCCGGAACGGGCCGTTGCAAAAGTGTAACGGGCCGTTCCAAATGATGAAAATGAACCCATTTTTAAGTAGCAGAACGAGTCGTTCCAAAGTAGAAAATTTGCCTATTTGGGTTGTTCCAGAACGGGCCGTTCCCAAAGTGAAACGGACCGTTTCGAAATAAGAAAAATGCTTAAAATATTTTAGTTGGAACGGGCCGAAAAAAGGAAAAAAAGTTGAAAAACAAAAAGCTTCAAAGAGAAAAGATCAACCCATTAATGCCCCTTATACTAATTATGGTTCTCATTTTCTTTAAAAAAAATAATTTTAAGTTATTTAAGTTGTTGTATAAGGGAAGAAAACAAACATTAGTTACCTCATGGCACAGAGCCAACATGCTAGCCTCAACACATACAGCCTTCAGTTGTGCTCCATTGAAATCATCTGTAAAATGAGCAAGTTCTTCAAAGTTATCATCAGGGTGAACATTCACTTTCCTTGAATGATCTAAAATATCAAAGTGAGGACAGTATGTAAATATTTTTTTTCCAAAATATGCCAGTAGATAAATTTTGAAGACACTAAACCTGGAGAATCCAAGCCATACTTTTTCAATTGATTGCGAAAACTCAATAATACAATCCAATAGCTCGGAATGCATAAGGGCAACGTAAAGAATATTTGCACTGTTTGTTACTGCTATTACCTACAATTGACAAGAATAAATGAAACTAAGTCTTGAATAACATAGTTTAAATGAACAAAATTCAATAAGTTTGGTGCCAACTATTAAATCTAGTTTATCGATATTTGAGATGTTAACATGTTGTGAAAGAATTGTGAAGTCAAAAACAAAAAAAAAGTAAAATTATGAGCCCAGCCCCTAAACATGGGACTTGAGAACAATAGGTCATATTTTAAAACAATGGAAAATAGGTGTTGTCCACATTGATATTAGACACAGAATTCAAAAGGATATAACCCACCTCAAAATAATATGAAAATTAATGTCTTTCTAAATTTTATTTATCCCTACATTAAAATTGAATAAAAAAAATAACCCCAAAAACAATTGTTAATTATTGGCTATTCTTAAAAAAAATAAAGATAATGATATATGCACAAGTATTTCTAGTTGAGTTAATTAGATATTTTCTTTTCTATTATTATAATCAAATTCTGTGAAATTATCTTATAGAACCTTAGAGGTACACTCACAAAGGAATTAAAATTGGCTTGGATTTTCAAAAATAGGTTTAAATTTGGTTTTAAAATAAGTTTATGACTTGAAATCCAGTTTGATTTCAAACCTAGTTTTAAATCATAAACCTGTTTTTAAAACTAATTTTAAGAAAATAATTAATTTGCATTCCGAGCTATTGGATTGTATTATTGAGTTTTCGCAATCAATTGAAAAAGTATGGCTTGGATTCTCCAGGTTTAGTGTCTTCAAAATTTATCTACTGGCATATTTTGGAAAAAAAATATTTACATACTGTCCTCACTTTGATATTTTAGATCATTCAAGGAAAGTGAATGTTCACCCTGATGATAACTTTGAAGAACTTGCTCATTTTACAGATGATTTCAATGGAGCACAACTGAAGGCTGTATGTGTTGAGGCTAGCATGTTGGCTCTGTGCCATGAGGTAACTAATGTTTGTTTTCTTCCCTTATACAACAACTTAAATAACTTAAAATTATTTTTTTTAAAGAAAATGAGAACCATAATTAGTATAAGGGGCATTAATGGGTTGATCTTTTCTCTTTGAAGCTTTTTGTTTTTCAACTTTTTTTCCTTTTTTATTTTTTTATAAAAACCAACATAACCTATGACATACATACTTATCGAGATTTGTGATTTTCAACATATTTAAGCTAATGATAGAGTAGTAGACAAAAAATATTGGCAGTTGTTTGAAATATATTGAAAATAATAAGTCTTAGTGGGATGTGAGAGCCATTGAGATTTCTGGTTTCAATAAATTTCAGCTTATAATAAAGTGTGTTAGACCAAATGATAATTTCAAATTGTTTGAAATTTGTTGAAAATAAATTATAATGAGATGTGGGAAGAAATGAATTGTGAGACTTATTGATATGCTGGTATGATGATTGATTATGTTTGT